GCTCTTTCTGGTTCCCGATACTTTTCAACTCTTGATTTGCAATCTGGATATCATCAAGTTGCAATGCACGATGATTCTAAAGAGAAAACTGCCTTTATTGCGCATTCTGGATTGTACGAATTTAATGTGTTAAGTTTTGGTCTAACAAACGCCCCGCCGAACTTTCAACGTCTAATGAGCAATGTGTTACATGGCCTCGATTGGAAAATTTGCTTAATATACATAGACGATATTATCATCTTTTCGGAATCTTATGAAGAACATCTCGCACGCTTGCGTCTCGTATTTAATCGTTTGCGTGATGCGAACTTGAAACTAAAACCCTCGAAGTGTCGTTTCGCCAGTCAGTCTGTTGACTTTCTCGGTTTTGTGGTTTCATCAAAAGGAATTTCACCTGATTCCAGCAAGATTGAAGTTGTTAAATCGTTTCCCGTTCCAAAATCAGTAAAGGAGGTTCGTAGTTTCCTCGGCCTTTGTAATTACTACAGACGTTTTGTTGAAGGTTTTTCGAAAATTGCTTCACCTTTGAATCGTTTAACTCGCAAGGACGTTGCGTTTGCTTGGACACCTGAGTGCCAGTCTGCTTTTCAAACATTAAAGAACCGTTTGTGTTCTCCTCCGATTCTGGCCTATCCAGACTTTAATTTGCCTTTTCATCTGTTCACGGATGCAAGCCATTCAGCGTTAGGCTATATTTTAGGACAGATAGTCGATGGTAAAGAGCACGTGATAGCGTATGGTGGTCGTGAATTGAGCTCTGCTGAAACTCGCTATAGCACTACTGAGCGTGAAGCCTTAGCTGTTGTGGATGGCATAAAAAAGTATGAGCCTTATTTGTCCGGAAAAAAGTTCTTTGTTCATACCGATCATGGCAGTTTATCTTGGTTAATGCGTGTCAAAGACCCTACTGGCCGCCTTGCACGTTGGGCCTTACGTTTGCAACAGTATGATTTTGAAATTATTCATCGCCCTGGTGTTGCTAACGGTAATGCAGACGCCCTTTCTCGTCGCGTCTATTCTGCATCTCCTTCTGCTCATGAAGTTTCCTCTCTCGATTTACCAGTAGCAGTTGTCAACCATCCTTGCCCACCACCATCTACCTTGCATAAATTACAACGACAAGACAAAGATCTTGCTGACATAATTCAGTATTTAGAAACGTCGGAATTGCCAAGTAGTGACAATAAAGCTCGCGCGTTATTGCTGTCTATCGATTCTTTTTATTTGGATGAACATGGAATCCTTTGTCATCTATGGACACCTGGAAAGCGTCGTGCTAAGTCTCTATGTACTCAGGTCGTTATTCCTGCGTCTCTTCGTCATGAAATTCTTGTTTCTCTTCATGATGACCCAACTGCCGGACACCTTGGCTCGGAGAAAACCTACGAAAAGGTTCGTTTGAGATATTACTGGCCAGGAATGTACAAAGATATTGAACACTGGTGTCGTTCTTGTGTAGATTGCGCAATGAAGAAAAGTCCGCGAAATAAACGCAAGGCTCCGTTACTGCCTATTCCGATTGAAGGTGCTTTCGATCGTGTTGCTATGGACATTTTAGGCCCGTTTCCTGTTTCAGAAGATGGAAACCGTTACATTATCGTTTTTTCGGACTATTATACGCGTTGGCCAGAGGCATTTGCCCTACCATCTACGGAAGCTCCACGAATTGCTCAACTGTTAGTTGACGAAATACTCGCTCGGCATAGTGCACCTCGCACTCTACTTTCTGATCGTGGATCTAATTTTCTGTCGTCTATTGTCAACGAGGTTTGTAAAATAATGAACACGCGCAAATTGAACACTACCGCGTACCATCCGCAGACTGATGGCCTTGTCGAACGATTCAATGGAACTCTTGCTGAAGGCTTATCAATGTATGTCAGCAGTCATCAAAAGGATTGGGATCGTCATATCCCCATGATTCTCTTCGCGTATCGTGTTTCGCCTCATGCTACTACTGGTGAGTCGCCCTTCTACTTACTGTACGGTCGTGAGCCTCGTTTACCTGTAGATGCTGCCTTGTTATCGCCCTCCGCTCATCTTTCGTCGTCTGTCGCTGAGCATCGTGCACGTATCCTTACAAATTTGGAGAATGCGCAGCGTATCG